GTGGATATCTTAAGAGTGCACCCTTTAGTTTTTCTTGTTTGTACATTTTATAATAAGGATATTATACTAGGATCTTCTGAAGCATCTAACTTATTACATGCCTGTGATTCATCCATGTTGCGCGTAGGTCAAGTTTATTACTATGAATTGCATTTTATAAATAGAACAATTCCATCACATAAATAATTCATGCAGCCATTCTCCTAATGTTGGGCATTTGTATTTCTGGGTTTTGGCTATTATAAGTAGCGAAGTTCTGAACTCTTACACATCTGCTTGATGTGAGGGTTTGTCTCGTCTAGGGTGTATACCTAGAAGTGGAACTTCTGGTCTATAAAGTAGGTGAATTTTCATCTAGAAGGAAAAGCCAGTTGCTTTTGTACCACCTTACTCTCTCATCAGCAGTATATAAAAGTGTCTGATCCATAGGCTTTCCAGCATTTACTATTTTTTCTTGCTTTTTGACCATCTTTGGGGTATAGGAAGCATCTCATCGTCTCCATATGTACAGTTCTCATTACTAACATGGCTGATCATGTTTTATATGTTCCTTGGCAAATCTTAAACCTGAAAAGTTTATCTCTCTTTACTCATTTTTAGAAAGTAGTCTCATATTTGGGATGCTAGTCTTATTCATTCATTCATTCATCTATATTTATTTTGGTATCATTAATATAAAATCACATGAGCAACATTGTGGTTACTAGATTCCCCCCATTATCAAGTCCCCACCACATACCCCATTACAGTCACTGTCCGTCAGCATAGTGAGATGCTGCAGAGTCACTGCTTGTCTTTTCTGTGCTATACTGCCTTCCCCATGGCCCCCCTACGTTATGTGTGCTAATCATCATGCCCCTTATTCCCCTTCTCCCTCCCACCCTCCCCAGTCCCTTTCCTTTTGGCAACTGTTAGTCCATTCTTGGGTTCTGTGAGTCTGCTGCTGTTTTGTTCCTTCAGTTTTTGCTTTGTTCTTATGCTCCACAGATGAGTGAAATCATTTGGTACTTGTCTTTCTCCACCTGGCTTATTTCACTGAGCATAATACCCTCTAGCTCCATCCATGTTGCAAATGGTAGGATTTGTTTTCTTCTTATGGCTGAGTAATATTCCATTGTGTATCTGTACCACATCTTTATCCATTCATCTACTGATGGACACTTAGGTTGCTTCCATTTCTTGGCTATTGTAAATAGTGCTGCGATAAACAGGGGTGCATCTGTCTTTTTGAAACTGGAATCCTACGCATTCTTAGGAAACTGGGATCCTATGCATTCTTAGTAAATTCCTAGGAGTGGAATTCCTGGGTCGAATGGTATTTCTATTTTTAGTTTTTTGAGGGACCTCCATACTGCTTTCTGCAATGGTTGAACTAATTGGGATGCTAGTCTTTTGCTAGTTATTTTGTAATAAACAGTTTGACCCTAGTTCTGGGAGGGATCCTCCAGGTTGCTGGAATGTGCTGAGTGACAGAAGTGTCTGTGTTATTCGTGGTGGGCCCTGGCTGTTTGTACTAATGCAGTGACTCAGGGTGGGTCTGTAGATAGTTTATGTTAGTGAGATGAGTCGGGATGGGGCTGTTTATACAGCCATGTGATTCAATGATTGGGGCTCGAGCCAGGTGGCAACAGCCCAACCTCCAGGATGGTAGGGGTGCTGGAAATTGAGTCACATGGCCAATGGTTAGATCAGTTGTGCTTGTTTAATGAGACTAATAAAAACTATAAACACTAAAACTTTGGCGAGCTTCTGTGGTTGACAATAGCCTGCATAATGTCATGCATAGATATCCTGGATGAATAATGTGCCCTGATTCCAAAGGGAAAGGACAGTGGAAGCTTCCGGTTTGGGACCCTCCCAGACCTCACTCTTACATCTCTCCATTTAACCGGTTATGATTTGTATCTGGTTTGTATCCTTTTGCTATAATAAAACTGTAATCTCGTACATTTTCTCTCCAAGTACCTTATAGGTTTTGCTGGTGTAAATAGTGGTGTTTTTCTTTCTTTTAAGTCTTACTGTTTGAATATGAAATTGGAACACATGTTTATTTTGATCTTAAAACAAATTGAATTTCCAATCTTCATTCCTTCAATTTATCTTCCCCATTTTACTGCTCTGGGTTTGATCTGTGGCACATTTTTGAATAAAGATTCTGAGAATGGTTATTCTTGTCATGTCACTAAGTTTAAAGAAATTCTGTGATTTTTTTTTTCTAGTTGACTAAGATTTTTTTTTTTAGTGAGAGTAGCTATGGTAATTTGAGTATGTCTTCATCTTTTTAGATAATTAACTGGCTCTTATTATCCTATCCCTGCATTCCTGGAATAAAGTTAACTGTACATAGTATAATTCTTCATATATTCAATTTTCTTAATATTCTTACTATCAGTGGCTATAGTTTCCTGGTATTATATATATGTAAATGAGATTGGCCCATAAATTTCTGTCTCATGTTGTCCTTAAAATCCAGATGTTTTCTTCAGTTCTTTTATATCCCACGTAAGACAGAGTTGCATTTTCCTTCAGAGTTCTCAGCAATGTGGTCTGAAACTATTTAAGTTGCATTAATGTATTTCTAGGGTGTCCTGGCATCTCAACATTACTCTCAGCATTAAATTAATTTTTCATAACCAGAATTAATTCTTTAACAATCAGCACTGGTTAGAAAACACAAGAGACCCAGCTGGGGTTTTGTGTGGAGATGAAGTCTCAAAAAGGGGCACATGGATTTGAGATTTTAGCTGAGACTACATTGCGGAGGTTACAGACTTTGTCTTCGGAGGCAGACAGCCTGTATTTGTTTTGATTTTTGTAGGCAGGTTGTTAGTTTAATCGAAGTATTATTCACATACGATAACATTCCCCAGTTCTGCACATTCAATTCCATGAGTTTCACAAAGGTATACCATTGTGTCCCCACTGTTTGAATCAATATATAAAACTTTGCCATCAACCCCAGAGACTCCTTGTGCCCCTTTACGTTTGAGACCATAACCCCCATCCTCTCTTCCTCCCAGTCACTTGCATGCTCTTTAGAGTTGTGGGTATTCTCTCATTCATACAAGTGAATTATACAGCAAGTACTCATTGATACCTGGCTTCTTTCACTTAGAGAGTAATGCTTTTGAGATTTATCCATGCTTCTGCAATATGCCATTCATTCATTCCTTTCTGTTGCTGAGTAATATCCAGTGGTATAGACATGCCACAGTATGGTGACCTATTCCCCAATTGATGGATTTTTTTCAGTAGATTTTGGATATTACCAATAAAGCTGCAGTGTCATTCATGTGCAAGTCAAGGTCGCCATACGATTTTGCATTTTTACCAGCAACGCAAGAGGATTCTTCTTACTTCACATCTTTGTCAGTACTTAGTATTTTCAGTCATTTAAACAATAGCCATCCTAGCAGGTTTGTGGCAATATTTTATTTTGGTTTTACTTTGCCTTCATTGCACAACTTAAAGCAATTTTTCATATGCATATTTGTCATCTCTTTTTTTTGGTGAAGTGTCTTTAAATCTTTCGTTCCTTTTTTTTTTTTAATTGGATTGTCTCTTCTTTTACTAAGTTGGAAAAGTTCTTTATATTTTTTTGGACAAAAGTCTTTTAGTCAGGTGTATGTTTTGTTAATATTTTACTCTAGCCTATGGCTTGATTCTTAACTTTTTTAATTGTCTTTTTAATACCAAATTTTTTAGTATTGAGGAAGTCTAATGTATCAGTTTTTTCCTTTCTTTTATCATGATTTTGTGCCCTATTTAAGAAATCTTTGCCTAGTCCAAGGTGACTTAAATTTTTGAAGTTTTATGGTTTAACTCATATCTATAATTCATTGTAGTTAATTTTGGTATAAGGTAAACATGAATATCCTTGTTTCAACAGTACTTGTTAAATATTTCATTTTTTTCATCCTGCTTGTGCTTTTCTCTTTGTTGAATATACGGAGTGTAAATATCACAGCGCTTTTTGGTGCGCTCGCCTGCCAGTTCTGTCCCCTTGGCCCTTTGTGTCTGTTGCTCTTGATTGATTTCCCCCCTAGCTACGGGTCATGTTTTCTTGCTTCTTTGCATGTCTAGTAATTTTTTATTGGATGTCAGATATTGTCAATTTTACATTGTTTGCCGGGTTTGCTATTCCTTTAGCTCCTTCTGCTCTGGGATGTAGTCAAGTCACTTTGAAACAGTTTTGAGTCTCTGGGGGCTTTCTTCTAAGCTTTGTTTGGTGGGGCCGAAAGAGTCTTCTGCCTATAGGATTGCTTTATTCCCAGCACAGAGGCAGTTCTCTTCTGAGGACTCAAGCCCCTGCCCATGAGAAGGTCTTTCTGCCCGGCCGGTGGGATCGCTGACCATTCCTGCTCTCACGGGAGCCCTGGGAATTGTCCCACCTGCTCTGGGCAGTGGCCTTGGCCGTTTCCTCAGTCGTCACTCCTTAGCCAGAGACTCAGAAGGCCCCTCCGGCGCCTTACGGAGTGAGTTGTCTTTCTGTCTCTCTCTTTTCTTCCTGGCAAACTCGAGCCACCTTTGCTTCCTCAGACTTTGAATTTTGTGTGCTGCATCTGGAAAACCTCTCCCGACAGTGATCCGCGGCACACAACACCCTCATCTTGTTTGTTTCCCTTCTTCTCTGACTTGTGTCTGAAAGTTGTCACAGGTTATTTCCCCCATTTTTTTTTTTAGTTGGTTAAGGTGGAAATATAATTCTCGTAACTCTCCTGGTAGTCAGAGGTGTTATCAGTTCTGAGGGTTGTATTTTAATCCTTGGTCCAACAGTTACTAGCTAGGTGCTGACCTTTCCTTTCTTGATTTTCTCTAAAGTGGAATCATTGTAGTCTGTACCTCACAGGGTTGTTGTGAGGATTAAGTGAGAAAAGAACATGCTTGAAACAGTTCCTCGCAGGTATAGGAACTTGCTTTTATCATTATGTCCATGCCAAACAAATCTTTCCTTGATCTGTAGGTGCTGGCTTCCTAGAATGAGGCAGCTCCCTATAAAGGAAGAAAAGTAGGTCTCACGTCCAGAAATTCATCCTTGCTGAGGATGCCCTTGGCGAGACACCCTTATTGGAATTTCAGGACATGTATTAAAAGTGCTGAGCATTTCCTGAAAGCTGCGGAAAATGACCAAGTCCCAGGTAAGTCTATGATTTTCCAATTAGTTTTCTAGTCGATTTCTAGAAGTTTATAAACAATGTGTATAATAAAGAGAACAATGTATACAGATACAGTGTGGCTGGGAGGGATGTCCTTGGACTGGGAGCCAGAATGAATGGCCCCCAGTAGCCAGTCAGGGAAGCAAGAGCTGCCTGCGTGTCAGTGTTGCAAGGTGCTAACAATTAGACCTTGTGACGTAAGCAGCAGGATTCAGAGCCGAGTTCTGACCTTTCTGTGGTAGTACTGGAAACCGTCACAAAAGGGTAAAAACATGTTTGAAGATTTACTCTTGTGTATAAGAAGGAATTCCTTGAGGTCAGTAAATATTTCCTGGGCATTAGGTGTGAAGAAATGTCTTTGATAGGTCTTCTTCTTCCAGTCTTTCTTCTGGAGTGTGGACCCGGTGAATGGCCATACCCCTAAGGAAATAAGGAAATGGGGGAGATGAAAAAGGTACAGATCGGAAACTTTAAAAAAAATCTCTTCTTGTCTATGAAAAGAAGATAAGCATAGTGCTTACATAAGGGTTATTGTGCAGGTCATTGTGCTAAAATATGTAAAATGTTTAGAGTGATACACAGCACGTAGTGAGAGCTGTGTGTCGGCTTTTCTGAGTATGGGAATTTAATAGGAAGCACACTTTGTCAAAGGCAATTCGGAGCGTAACATACTTATGTATATGAAAAGCACTGCAGTGGCTACCAAGTGTCAGCAGGAAATGTGTACACTTGTGCAGTGGCCTCTTACCTGTTCCCTGGGCGCATCTATTCTCTGACAGCCCCCAGCTCTTCAGCCTCTTCCTATGGACCCAGGACTAATCATGCTGGGAGCGGCTCCAGCTTGACCTCCTTCAGAACTATTATTTCCCTACCTAACTGTGCCCATGTTTTAACTTGTGACTACTACTCTTGTAAGTCTTCATAATGTCTTGACATACTTAAACCCTCTGTAAAGGAGTGTATTTGCCTTTCTGCAAGATCAGAGCTGTTTTGAAGGCACGACCATGCTTTATGTCCTTTTGTATGGCAACATGCGTCGTAGGTAACATTAAATGCTCTTAAGGTGGGTTGCAGATGGCTTTTTGGTAGTTGAAAGTTTTAATCACATTTGACATGGGATGAGTGAATGAATGAAGAATGCACAAAGGGTGGTTTAATGAATTTAGCCACAAAGTGCAAACCAAAACTAGATACTGGGAAATAGTTATTTATAAACTTGCCTGGGTAAAATAATGAGAATAATGTCCTATAGGTCAGTTAAATTTTATTCCATTATATTACCTCCAGATTAAAAATGATTATGCCATTACAGGGCTTGTCATTCAATGATGTGGTTGTGGATTTCAGCTGGGAAGAGTGGAAGCTGCTAGACACTGTTCAGAAGAACCTCTACTGGGATGTGATGTTAGAAAATTATCGCAACCTAGTATCACTGGGTAAGGACAGCTTTCCTAAGCACCCTAGCATAAGCCCATCACTGCATTTCTGTTTTCATTGCTCCAGTTTGTGGGTATCCTGATAGCCACAGTGATTTTGGGCTTGGACTCATTTAGGTGATCGAACTTCTTTTCTTTATGATCAGTGACTATACTTTCATTTTCCAAATGACAAGTTTTTGTTCTGCCTGGTTTTAAACTACCCAGTGTCTGAGACAGAACTTTTCCTCACACTCCCTAATACTGCTCAGGTTCTCTGTGATTGCTCCATGGCAGGTTATCAGGCGACCAAGCCAGAAGCAGTGGCCCAGTTGGGGAAAGGAGAACAAGGAATAGTGGAGAGAAAATCCCCAAGTCCTGGTGAGTGAAACCAGTGCGGTGGGAGTTAGTGGAAGCAGAGTAACAGTTGATCATCGTAGGCTGGGACCCTTGCTAAGTTGCCCTAATAATTTTTCTCATGCTCTGAGCATTGCAAGGCTACTCACTTTAGAGTGGGTGAATGAAGTCTTCAGTATGCATGATGCCTCCTTCTCTTTCCACCCTTCCATGCACGACTGTCTTTTCTAGCCACCTAGGAAACATACTTTGTCTTCTGTAAGCTGGGTCAGATGGTTGCCTACTGCATTTGGTCGTTAGCTTCTACACAGTTCTTCTACAGCTTGGTGGACACAGCCAGCCTTCCCCACCTCTCATCCATATTCACAGACCTCTTCTGTTACACTTTCAAATATTCACACATTTGTTCCAAAGTTCGATGACAACTATGTCCTTCAGTTCATTATTTATTATCTTTCTTTTATTAGATACCTCCTTCAGACATATGTTGCACACCTGCTGTATCACTCCATTTTCTTTGGCTGTTGACTTCAGATTGCATCCTTCTCCATTTCATGATAATGGTAGGCTTCATTGATTTTTTTTTTCTAGAATTAATGTGGCAAGTTTATGATTGGAATCAGGAAGAAATTGAGAAGGATGAACCTGTAAAGAAAGATCGTGAAAATAATGCATTGGGAAGAATATTTTCTCTGAGCCAAAACTTTGTTCCATTTATAGAAAGACCTCTTAAATATTTTTCAAGAGGACTAAGTTTGAAACAAAATTCAGATTCAAATTTTCAAAGTAAAAACTATGCAGAAATGAACTTGGATGAGTTAAATGGCCACGGGAAATCATTTCTCCATTTACTACAGAAAACCTCCCACACTCAATCCCAGTACTATGAACACAATTTGTGTGTGAAGGCTTTCAGTGTGGTGACAAGTCTTAAAAGACATCGCAGACTTCGCACAGAAGGGAAACCTTATGAATGCAGTGAATGTCCAAAATCCTTCAGATACAAATCAAAGCTCACAATACACCAGAGAACTCACACAGGAGAGAAGCCATACAGATGCAGTGAATGTCAGAAAGCTTTCAGTACAAAATGTCATCTCACTCTGCACTGGAGAACTCACACGGGAGAGAAACCCTACAGATGTACTGAGTGCCAGAAATCTTTCAGAACAAAGTATCATCTCATGTTACACCATAGGACTCATACAGGAGAGAAACCCTATGAATGCAAAGAATGTGGAAAAGCTTATAGGGAGAAGACAAAGCTCAGATTGCATTACAGAGCACATACAGGAGAGAAACCTTTTGAGTGTAGTGATTGTGGGAAAGGTTTTATGCAGAAGTCAAACCTGATTATCCACCAAAGAATTCATACAGGACATAAACCCTATGGATGCAGAGAATGTGAAAAGGCTTTCTGTAGTAAGTCTCAGCTTGTTGTTCACCAGCAATTCCATACAGGAGGAAAATCCTATGAATGCAGGGAATGTGGGAAAGGCTTCAGTAAAAACTCACACCTCATAACACACCAGAGGATTCATACAGGAGAGAAACCTTATGAATGCAGTGAATGTGGAAAAGCATTTGTACACACATCACAGCTCATTGTACATCAGAGAAATCATACAAGAATAAAACCTTACGAATGCAAGGAATGTGGGAAAGCTTTTAGTAAGAAGTCACACTTCATAACGCATCAAAGAATTCATACAGGAGAGAAGCCCTACGAATGCAGTGACTGTGGAAAAGCTTTTATAGATAAGTCACAGCTTATCGTTCATCAAAGAACTCATACAGGAGAGAAACCTTATGCATGCAAGGAATGTCAGAAGGCCTTTAATAAAAAGTCATCCCTCATAACACATCAGAGAATTCATACAGGAGAGAAACCCTACGAATGCAGTGTCTGTGGAAAAGCTTTTATTGATAAGTCACATCTCATTGTTCATCAGAGAACCCATACAGGAGAGAAACCCTATGAATGCAGTGAATGTGGGAAAACTTTCATACGAAAGGCAATGCTCATTGTCCATCAGAGAACGCATACAGGAGAGAAGCCCTTTGTGTGTCTGGAATGCCAGAAGGCCTTTAGCAGTATGGCAATGCTCAGTAGACATCAGATGATTCATACAGGAGAGAAACCCCATGGATGCAGTGAATGTGGCAAAGCTTTCCGCCAAAAAAGCCATCTTACTATCCATCAACGATGCCATACTGGAGAGAAACCCTATGGGTGCATTCCATGTGGTCAAATCTTCAACCAGAAGTCACAGCTCATTCGACATCAGAGACGTCACACAGGAGAGAAACCGTATCAGTGCACTCAGTGTGGGGAAGCTTTTCTTGAGAAATCAGACCTCAGTGTCCATCAGGTAAGTCATGCAGGCCAGAGACCATATCAGTGCAGCGAGTGTGGGAAAACTTTCTCTGTCAAATTCCTTCTCAGTTCCCATGAGGAAATTCATACAGGAAAGAAATCTCAGGAACACAGTGCTGGAACGGCTTTAGGGAGGTGAGAATTCACAGAGGAGTTACCTTATGGACGCAGTGAAAATTCAGGTATTTCATTAATTTTGACCTTTGTAAGTTCCAGGAAACTTACCCAGGAGAGAAATCTTTTTTTTTTTTTTAATTAAGGTATCATTGATATACACCCTTATGAAGGTTTCACAAGAAAAACAATGTGGTTATTACATTCACCCTTATTATCAAGTCCCCCTAAATCATACCCCATTGCAGTCCCTGTCCATCAGTGTAGTAAGATGCCACAGAGTCCCTACTTATCTTCTCTGTGCTACACTGTCTTCCCTGTGACCCCTCCACACCATGTGCCTGCACCAATCATCAGGAGAGAAATCTTTTAAATGCAGAGAATAATGGAAAATTATCCACAATAAGTGTAGTCTGCTGGGTAATTAGAGAAAGGCGATGTGAATGCGTTGAAAAGTCAGAACCTTTTTTGAGAAGTGAAATTCCATGATACATCACACAGAAATGAAACTTTTTGAGTCCAGCAAATATTTTTTATAGGTCTTCATAATATAGTTCATTTTTGTTGAGGAAAAACCTCACTAATGTTGTGAATGCTGGAGTACCTTCCAAACATGGATTTTCATGCCAAAGAATACAGAAGAAATGAAGACTTGTGATAAGGGGTGCCTGTGGCATGAAGTCCAAACTTCTTGCACTTTTGCATCAGATAATGTTTATTAAAGAGAGTGACTAGTGTAATGACCATAGTGCGGGAAAGATGGCTTATATATAAAGAATTTTATAGTAAAAAATAGGATTCTGTCACATTGCCATGTTATTTATAGAAAATAGAACACAGCAGTTATGAAGAGCAGATAACTTTAGCATGCCAAATAACACTTCATTCATGTTTGAATATGTTGTACAGTTACAATATAAGTGAAGAAAAGTCCCATATATATATGTGTGTGCTTTGTCTCTGTACTTTTGTAAAACATGTATAATTTTCAAATTTCACAAGATTGTGAAAGAAAGTTGTTTACTGTGAAATTCTTGTTCCAGGTTTTATGTGTAGTATGCACCAAAAAATGCCAACATTGTACATTTTTGTATATCCTATAAATTGCAAGGCAAGTATTTGGGCTTAAGATTAAACAAGACTGTAATATAACACAGTTTGTGCTTTTCCCCCCCTCTTTTACTGTTTACTGGTATATTTAAATGGATCTGGTAGCTCTCTTCAGCCTTCTAGAATAATAAATTTTTTAAAACAAATTGTCTTCTGCTTGTCACTTAGAAAAAAAAACACATTAATGATACTGGCATTTAAGAGTGATGAGTAATCACAACTCTTCTGTCCCTGAGTTCTGAAAAACTGGAAGCAGCTGTTATTTTCAAAGAAATGACGATTAAAATACCATCTTTGGCGGTGGAATGGTCCGACTGGGGAATGTGGCCTGGAGCTATGGCCTCGTGCGCTTCTCTCCTAAAACCTAGTTTATTAGTTTCCTAGGGCCACCATAGCAAAGTATAAATCGAGTGGTTAAAAACAACAGAAATTTACTATTGTCTCCAGTCTGGAGGCTAAAGTCCAAAAATCAGGGTGTCTTCAGGGCCACGCTCTCTGAAACCTGCTGAGGAATCCCTCCCTGCCCCTTCCAGTTTGGAGCCGCGTCTAAGTCCATAAACGTTTCAGTCTTCAATCTTTTTCAATAATTATGATCAGGGTAAGATAAATTTCTGTTGCTCTATCCTCAGCTTCCCTGACTCTTTCCTCTGGCATCCTCACTTTAATCCTTTTTTGTCCAGAATTTTTTTTCAGTTCTAAAATTTCCATTTGGTTCTGTTATATAGCTTTTATTTGTCCACATGGAACGTGAGCTCTGTCTTTCCACTTATTGCAAGAGGGTTCCTATGTACCTCATGAGGTAACGTTATCATAACTGCCTTTTGAAAAGCCTTTTCCTTGACTCTGAGGCCAACAGGTATTTCATCTGATGATCATCTTTTCCCCCTTAAAATCGGTCACGTTTTCCTGGTTCTTTGGAGATGCACTGAAGTACATACACGTTGTATGATGAGTGATTTTGCGGTGGACCCTGGATACTTCTATTACAGTGGGAGAGTCTGCCCGTTAGGGTCCCTGGGGGGTGTTAGCTCTTTCTGCTTTACAGTGCAGCCTGGTTATATTTAGCCCACACATCCTTCTGTGAGTAGTGGATTCAATGTCAGCGTGCTTTTCAGAGTCCTTGAATGGATTTTAGGTGTGCCTCTCATTTGAGCCACTGAGTGTTCTAGGCCTTAGGTGTCGCGACCCTTCAGGGACCGAAGCAACACGCCCAAGGTCTTGATTCTTCTCTAGGCTTTATTGTCCAATCTCTCACGGCGGTTACAGCAGTTGTCCGGAAGCTCCTCTCCCTCCCGGCGGGCGGGCTCCCTTATATTCAGTCACCCAACCAATCCGGGACAGTATCATGCGTGACCTTTAAGCGGATAGGTGTCACGCGCCACTCTAAGCGGGCAGCACGAGCTGTGCACGGGTACGGAAGTCTGCTGGGCCAATCCCCAACAGGGAAGAGGGGAAAGGGTGGTGAGCAGGAAGCAGGCGCCATCTTTAGGGCGTTGTCCAGCTAGAGTGGGGCTCAGCCTCGGCCATAGGCCGGGCCCCCACATTAGGGACTGGTTTACATCACAGTAAAGTTTGTTTCACTTTACTATGCTTCTTGTGCCACAGGGTTGAACATGGAGTCTGGGATTTATATCTCTTCATACACAGAATTAGGGGATTCCCCTTGGTCAGCATTATTCTTTCCAGTCTCTGGTTCCCTGAGACCCCCTTCACTAGTACTTCCTAGCACTCTGGCTGGAAAGGTGGAGTTTTCTCCCTGTTTTAGTCTCCCGTGATGTCAGGCAGTTTTGCACTAGGCTCACCTCTCTTCAAATTACTGATATGATTTCCCAGCGCAAAGCAGTGAGACAAAAGATTTTAAGATGGTGGGATTTCCTCTGTGCTCTTTGCAAAAAAGGGAATGCTTTTCCAAGTTTTTCTCTCCATAGGGATAGCTTTTCCCTCAGGGTTTTAAATCTCCAGGCATTGCCACCACTGCGGCAGTACAGTTTTGAGACTGGAGCCAGCCCTCAAGGCAGGACTGAGCTAAAAGAAGAAAAAGAAAATGGATTCCACCGACCCCCACCTTCTGGCTCACAGGGTTCACTTTTCTATGCCTTCTGACCGTTATGAATGGTTTTTCTCAATCTTTGCTCTGTACTCCAGCTGCACGGTTCCCCAAATTGACATGGTCATGGGAGGTAAGGGAAAAAAGTGAGGAAATCCACTTATACATCTTTTGTTTCTCAACTCCACTCTTTCTTCTCCAGTCTCCTTGCAAATTTTTTTCTTTAAAAGGGCCTTCAGGTAGTCGGTTTTTTGGTGCTTGAAATGTTTTCAGTTGTAATCAGTGGGAATAATAAACTGTAGTGGGCTTGCTCAAGCATGACTCACACCAGATGTCATATTTTCAAGTGATAAACCATCCTTGCCTTCCTGGGTACTTGATCATGAAGTTGGTGTTCGTATGTTGATGGATTTGATGGCTAATAATTTGTTCATGAATTTTACATCTATGTTCATGAGGGATCTTAATCTGAATGGCCAAAGTTTTAATTGGATTTTGTTGCACTCAAAGATTTTCTTAGTTTTACATCTTACCAGATATAGATGTGACCTGATGCTTACCCTGAAAATACTGGAATTCCTGATAGTTCTTTGCATTCTTTCCTCTTAACTTTCTAATTCTTTTCTGAAGTCATCTTTTTATAGAAATCCCTTTTTGACTCTAGAAAATAGCAATCTAGCCAAACAACTAATATTGTTTTCCATTTCTCCACTTAGAGCCCATAAGATGATTTAGAATCATTTGCCACCCAAATTGTTGAAGGTAAGAATTTTTGACAAAACATTCTGCCATGGGTGGGATGGTCTCTATCTTTTCAGCTTCTAGTACCAGTTCATTCACCTCTTTCTTCCTGGCTTCAAAGCCAGCACATACATTTTATATTTCTGTTAAGGTGGCACCTCACTTCTAGGTACCAATTCCTGCATCAATCAGTACAGGCTCAGTTATGCTGTGGTATCAACAACCCAGCAAATGTGGTGGTTTACAAGGATGTACTTATACCATGTTCTGGGATATGAAACAAATCTCAGCAAATTTCAAGGGACTAAATAATGTACTGTAATGTCTCGTATGCTCACATGAACTTAGAAGTCAATGCCAAAAACTAGCTAGAAATCCCTATAATTTTGGAAATTCTGAAATAAATTCTAAATGTCATGGATCAAAGAAGAAATACTTAAAATCATTTTTCCAACTTTGCATTCTAATAATTTTAAGTGTAAAAAGATTGAAAATCTACGTAACAATGCCCTGTGTACCTACAAAATAGATTTAGCAATTGTCACCATTTTGATATCTACCTATTTTCTATTTACCTACTTATCTTTTCAGGATCATTTGAAATTAAAGATGGCATTTTACTTATAAATATATTATCATACATCCCCTACACAACCATATTACTACCACTCCTGAGAAATCAAATAGTTTAATAGAAATTAAAACACTTGGAATTTCCAAGTGATAACAACTATAAAAGTGTACACAAAGAGGTTTTGCTGCTGACAAGAGGCAGGTTACCTTAATATACTAATCCTGTTTGAGCCTGGGACTCCACTTTGTCACTGGGGATCACATCACAAAATCCTCTTCTGCGGTGTGTAGAGGAACTTAAGTACTTCGTGTGACATCACCAACCCACACGTAGGTTGGAAGCGGTCAAGTGACATATAGTTTTCTTTTGGTTAAGTGACTTTAGTTCTTTGATGTTCCAGGGTGTGTAACAGGCTGGAGTTTGGAGTAGGGCTGGTTGGTTTCATCTGCGGGGCTCACCAAATGCTTCCAGAAATGCAGTATCTCACATCCCCACTTCAGAGTTAGTGTTCTCAACAGTTCCCACCCTAAGGAGATGAGAAGCCGTGCTCTTGATATTAACCCTGCTCTCTGCCCCTGTCACTGCTATACATGGCCCAGTCTCAGCAAACGTGCAGGGCCCATGGCGTCTGAACCCGGCTCCAGCCCTGGCCCACCTTCCTGAATATCAAGAAAGCCTGTCCTTGCTGTTGACTTCCCCCTCCTACTGGCCCCAGTGCTTCCTCTATCTTTTCCTCCTCCACGAACTCTACTTCCAAGTATCCTATGATAAGGAAAAAAAATTCTGAGGTCCTAAAATTAAGTGACCCAGGTTGGAGAATGGGGGAGACAAGGGAAGGCAATCAATAACTTCAGGCTGTAGCCAACCAGAGACGGATGAAGTCATGTCAACAATTATCCAGAAGGTCCCCAGGAGCACTGCATCCCTCTCACACGTGACCAGTCCCTCCGTCACCCAACAACTAACCAGGAGCCTTCTCTGTGAACTATCCCCCCACGTTCCCCACTCCATGTTCACCTGCCTTCCTTAACTGTAGCCAATGTAAACTTAATACAACTTCCTTTCCTTCAGACCCCTGCTAAATGTTCCCTGTTTCTTGAGTCTGGCGGTCCAGTAATTTGTTAACTGGCCTTGCTGCTGGTGACGCAGAAACTGCCTGTCCTGGGACTCCTTTTTATGGCTGCATCTCTTAAGGGCTCAATGAACCCTTTTTAGAGCTCCTGCCGTCTCTATTAGTTTTGTTACCTAGAATTATTTCTCTTAATGCATGTGTCTACTGTGTCTCCCTTAGAGCACACTGCCTTTCATCACAAGTCTTCCCGAAATCGTCCCCTGTCCACTTTCCTTTCCCCGGCTAGACAGCTCATCGTTGGAAAGCGGCCTTTACGTCTTCGCAGGAAGCGCGGCAACGGATTCAGGTCAGTGAATGGCTCGCGTTTCCGGTCTTGGGTGGGCGGGGGCGGAGCCCCGGTGCAACTGAGCATGCGCACCGCCCCTGCTGGCTCTGCGTGCGAGGCCCTGGGAGGCCAGTGGGAAGAAGCGGCTTGGACGGCACCGGGCCGCCCGGGATTGTGGCACGAAGAGCCGTTTCCTCTTTGTCAGGCACGTCCTTCAGGACAGCCGTTCCCCTGGTGCAGCCGCTGAGCGTGGGCGGCCGGGTCACTCTCCGAGTATGAGTTTTGAGAAGGATGGCACCCTCTAAATCAAACTGCTCCTGAATGAGCAAGGCGGGGGCGGGGTGGGGGTGAGGGGTCAG